TACTATACACGAACTTTTATCGATGGAAAATTTTGCGAGTTTTCATCCAATTCAATCATACATATGCTCAGAATCTTCGCGATAAGTTTCTCTTTACCATAAAATTTGACCGAATAAGTTTCAAAACAATGCGACGGCAAAAAATGCAAAAATCTTGATTTTCGTAATAGAATTTATAGTCTTTTTGCCCTGTTGTACCGCCATCTTGGATTTATCACGTAGGCCCCACCTGCGCCAGGCATGCGTTAGCAATCTAGATCTCCTATATCTATGGATGAAACTCTTAAAGTTTGTCGTCTTATTGATGCCCCGACTTGAGTGGACCGATAATTATGCAATGAGGGTCGTTTCGAATAACGCCGTCAACATTTAGGAATCAACGATATAAACAAGGAAGCAAACTCGAATACAACTCAAGGTGAGAAGCCAATTTGTGTCGATTGTAACGATTTCAATGTTTAAAATTTAAAAGTAAATAATTTAGGTCCAGTCAAGTCGGGACGTTAATGCTACGAAACGTCGCTATTAAAAACTATAGCAATGTAGAAGACTCTAGGGCTTTTCTTTCACAAATTTTTTCAATGGCTATGTACTGTAGCCTTACATATATCATGTGACCGAATTTCAAGCTAAAATTCGTCTTAACAAGCACGTACGGCTTCAGAATAAAACATCGCCGTGTTGTAAATTCATCCCTAGTCACATTTCTTATTTTAGTGGGAAATAACGCGTGTATCCTGCGAACGGGCTGTCAGGTTCCAAAGGCGGTGCTTTTATATAAGCTAATAATAGATCTTAAATAAATAAACTGAAAAACATACAAATACAAATCAAATTATATGTGGTTATTATATGTTCGACTATAGGAGTATTATTATTAGATGACATATTAGTGTAATTTAGTGTTATAATTCAATTAAAAGGCAGTATAAAGACACTAAAATAAATAAACTGAAAAACATACAACACTAACACAGATCAACGCTTGGGCTCCTGTGCTTAAATGTCTTAAATGCTAATATGCTAGATAATTCAAACAATACCACAAAACATTGTAATTCAATAATTGGATTATATCAATTATCGCAAACAATAAGTACACCCACTCGTGTGACCATGACCACTTCTTCTCTATTAGACGTTTGTCTCACTCCTACGCCAGATAAATTAATTACATCCAGAGTGGAACCGATTTCTATTAGCGATCACTATATGATCTTAATCGTCCGTAAAATCAATGTTCATCCTAAACAAATTCGCATAAATTAAATCGAAATTTGAAATTTCAAACATTTTAATGCTGAAAACTTTCTAAATGATTTACCAAATCAGGAGTGGGATCTGATGGATTGTTATCCCTGAGTTGGCAAGATGTGGGAAACATGGAAAACATTTTTTCTAAGAGTTTTGGATAAACATGCTCCAGTTAGAGTTAAGAAAATATAAAAATAAGCCTAATGTACATTGGCTCACTTAATATATAGTTAAACAACAAATGCATGAGCGAGATCGTCTCAAACTCCTTGCTGTATAAAGAATAACTCGGACAATTACTGGAGCGCATATAAAACGTCCAGAAATCGCGTAACTCAAGCATTACGAGAACCAAAAACAGCTTATTATAAAAAATGCGGCTCCGAATTGTTTTACTTCACTGAGCGGACAAATCACTTGCTCAAGTGAATTAACTGAATCCTTTAATACTTACTTTACCAGTGTTGGACCCGATATTGCCAATAACATTGAAAACAGTCAGTGACACGAATTTTATGGATTATTTCAAATTTCAAGCAGTTTTTGTGGCCAAAAGTAAATAAATTTCTTCGGTCCTTAAATGCTTGTAAATCTATTGGAATTGATAAAATTCCTGCCAAAATTGCTGCTCCAGTAATTGCTGATCCGAGATTTTCAATACGGCAATTTTTAATGAGTTATTCCTTAACACAAAAAAGGTCGACGAAACTTATTTAATAATTATCGTCCTATTTCCATTCTACCCGTTATTAGGTCTAATAAAGTTTTTGAAAAAGTACTATACGAACAATTATATGATTATTTTGTCTCGAATAATTTGCTCTGATCGTCAATTTGGCTTCACACAGTTTCATTCCGTATTAGCATCTGCCCTTTTAGATAGTACAAATGAATGGTTTGTTAATATGGACCGTGGTAAAATTAACATCGCAGCATTTCTTGACTTACAAAAAGTTTTGATACTATAAACCGTATTAGTAATCGCTTAACACTGAACCTGTGACTGAACGCAGGCTCACGTTTACGTCAGCCTATTATTGCTTTTAACTATATAACAATGAATTTCCGAAATACGTACTGTAGATATGTTTTTCTACATTTTGCTCTGCATTTTGTGAGCTTTGATTTAAAGTAAAATTTAAAGTAAATCGCTTCGTAAAATGTTTTGAAATGTTCATTTTAAAATTAAACTATAAACTGCTTTTTCCGATTTAAAACTGTACGGGTTTTTATAAAGTTTATAAAAACAAAATAATTTCAAATTGTTGAGTAATTTCAATTCGGTTTTCAAATGAATTTGGTCTCCTTCACATTTTACATTTTATTTTTAATTAAATTAAACAGGGTAATTTAGCAAACTTTAATACAGCTCCATTGGAAAGGAAAGCAGTGCATATTTTACGCAATAAATTAAAGCAACAAAATTCATAAACATTAAACATTCAAAGCAAACTTGCCCTATATTCCACGATTTTCCACAGTAAATCAATTCTTCTCATTTCTTCAAACAAAAATTACTTCAAAGCTCATTGTGTGAAACGCGATTTTCCAAATATATGCTTTTGAAAATTGAAATCTTGCTTATCCCACTCCTGGCAAACAGCCATATTTTTTAGATCAGTGAGGATGACCACCCACGGTTGGTTACCGACGCCCGCGCTCATTGATGAACTTTAAACTTGGCTAATGCTTCCATTTCCCCGGGTGTAAATAGCCGGGGAGGGGGAAATTAGTAACCTCGCACGGCGCTTCGCGCCGTCGGCTCGGGAAAAAACTATTTTATTACAATCACCCCTTTTTTATGCTATTTCATTTAGAGGCAACCCTATTTTAATTCTATCATAATATTTCACTAAAAGAGAGAGACACAGGGACGCCGGACCGATAATAAGACAAAGAAGGGCCGACGCACACCAAAGGCACCTCTAAAGGAGCAAAACTTCAAAATCTACCGGAATTTTTTTTTTCAATGGAAATTTTTGGGCGACCACCCCCCCCCCACCCCCCGTCGCCAAAAACTTCAAAGTGTCTTCCACAAACGTGAAGTGTTTGTTGAGCGATTTGATTTCGTAAACTTGCATCAATCTCTCTCGCCAACGCTTCGCGAATTTTCGACGGCAAATTGTCATCTTTTGTTGGAATTAAAAAAATACTAACACCAAAGTGTTTTCTACTAGTCCCGCAACCATATATGGAGCAATTTGCTCCTGGTATTTGGATATTCTTTATATAAAAGACTTTTTAAAGTATTACAGCCTCCTCTGTAATACAATCTCCTATCACTCCATAGATTTTCATGCACATGTATTGTCACGTGGCAGAGAACAGTAACATAATTTGGCCACGCCCCAAACCTCCAAACCCTCTTCTCTATTAACTATGGTAATTGTTGCTATATAATATGTATTCTACGCAAAATTGTGGAAAGAAAAAATATTCAGGATTAATGCGCGTTTTGCTATGGCCCAATGGCCTATTTTGGGGGAGATTTTGAAAGCAAGTTTGCCCATTACTTAAGAAGCGAATTATGTTTTACCTAAAAGAAAAAAACAGCGAGACATGAATCCATATCCCATCTTCGTTCTTCTGCCTTCGTTCACAACAAATATTTTGGCAAAATGCGTTGTGAACTTCGTTCTGTACGAAGGCAGAAGGACAAGGACGGGATATAGTTTCAAGTCTCGTTAGTCCCTTCTCGATCAGGGCAAGAATTATGGTCAGTATTGATAAACAGCGGCACATGGGAAAACACGTTGAGCAACTACCAGTGACGTCCAACTCATTATGCGCAAGATAATGTGCAGGCGGCAAAAATTCTCAAGTATGGCTTCGTCTTCGTACTTCGTTTTCTTGCTCAAACTCTCTAATATAATGACCGCGAGCACAGCGAACTTCTGCCATCAATAGTAAACATTTAATTACTATAGTAGAAAAGATTTCTCTATTTACATTTGTATTGATATTCAGCCAGGACTAAATCCGTATGCATTGGACCAAACATATCGTGACATTTGCAATGTGTATTTTGAAAACCTAATTTCTCTTGTTTGATATGTGTTGTTTTTGATAATCAGTAATAATAAATGTACCCCAAACGTTTTACATTTATAACAATGTATACATTGCTACAGGAAAACGCACGCAGCAACAAGAATTCCCCTGTTAAATCACAGACTGTCCAATGCATCATCATATTTCCTTAAAAAAGATGAACAACGTACATTTTAACTAGGTCTATCAGGTTATTTTCATATATGCTATAAAATTACGATCGATTCTGCCCGTTTGTGAGGAACGGAATGCCTGCTGCCCGCTAGAGAAACTTGCTGACTGCTAGCGTGGCAGTTAACCTAGCATGTTCTCTCCGTCTGCGGATAACTTTCGAATCTTTGAGGAAAATACAAGTACAAGTTTTGACGCAGTGCATTAGGAATTATATTCAGGTTTCCACATATGATTATTCTCAAAATAATATGAAAATATTTTCCCTGTAACATTTTTTCATATCATAGGGGGTCTAGTAACCGTTCGAAAACGTCTTTAAAATTGCATGATTTTCTTCATAACCAAGCATTTCAGAAAATATTATCAGTTAAGCTTTGGAAAAGGAATAATTTGCAACATGGAACCATTTTTACAAATTACAGATTAAAAAAGATATGCTAGACAGCTTGAGATCATAGTGGAGGTTTCGTCAATTAAGTGTGTGCGGATAACATATTACAGGTATATATATATATATATATATATATATATATATATATATATATATATATATATATATATATATATATATATATATATATATATATATATATATATATATATATACATATATACAGTATATATATATATAATGGATGTCTGTCTATTTAACAAGTACGTAGTTTTATCACACTCACCTATAAAAAATAACAGCTATAAACATCACAACTTATTAGGAATTCCAGGAGGGAAACTGCACAAATAAAACAAACAATTATGAGGTCATATAAAATACATTATTATTATACAATGTAGTCACTATATATGCATGTGCCTTGTAATTGATCAGTAGCTTACAGCTAAATATGAAGATCACCCACTACATATAACTCAGTTATCTGCCAACAAATAGCTAAATTATGCGTAGGTTCAAGCAGCACTATGTAATGTTACAACATGCAAGCGGCAGTTTTAAATTCACGAATAAAAAGAACAAGAAAAAACAGAATAAACGTGGCGTTTTGGTGAATGGTTTTTGTTGAAGAAACATAATTTTTTGACATTTATTTCGGAACTCCAGGAGGTAAACGAAATTTCTATTCTTTTTATGCTGTCTTTGTGATATATTTTACTAAATCATTTTCACTGCTCTTTCTCAGGACCAAATGTCGTTTGGTGTGACAATTATCATGATTGTTTGTTGAAAGAGTTATTAATGAAAATGCAAAGAGTAATAAAACAGTCATTGAATTCAGTTTTTGCGATATCTTAAATTATCAAGATCTCGGTAGGTGTTATTAATTTCGGACTGATAATACTTAGCATGACATGGATAGTAAATTGTTCTGGATATCACATGAAGCTTGTCCAATAATAAACTGTTTATTATTTGTCTGCAGATTCAGTAACTCCTTGGTCCTACCATATGTCTAAGATTTACGAGGTGTCACAATTTAAAAACGTAATCGACCTATGTATGTGATACAATCGCATTAAGTTTAATTGTATAGATTCGCTTTTTTATATACCCATCAAAACTAGCCTTTTGCATTTAGTTTTTCCTGTCAAATAACAGCTTTTAAATTATTGCCATAAAAAATTGACAAAAATTTATTATTATTCTTTCGGTTCAAATTTCTTTGACAAAAGCAAGGAGAACCATGCACTACAAGTCTCCACCTCTGCAAGACACAGACGGAGGAACAAATCTTAGCTGTCGCTATGACATGCCCTATATATCAAGAAAAAATTGGAAGAAATAGTGGAAATGCAATGGTTGGACTGTAATTAGATCCAGTTGGTTAGGAAATAAGTGCAATACAGTACAATAGAAAAAATTTATTTCAGCACTGCTAAGATTAAACCAAAGCTTGTGCGGCCGTGCTTTGGTACAAAGTATAAACTACCTAAAAATATGTATGTAATTAAGTACTTGTTCATAGATTATAATTAAAAATATATGAAGTCTGAATCAATATTCCCAGTTTTCGCTGCTGGATAACAGGAAAATTTCAGCTACCTCGGGACCTAAGACTACAGGGCCATAAATTTAATAGGCCTTTCAATGGGTGCATTGTTTAGCTGGCTAAGTAAATTCCAGACAATGACTTCCTTAAATGTTACAGAATTTTTCATAATGTCAATTTCAAAACGTGTAATCATGACGTTGTTCTCATTTCTTAAATTATATGTACTGTTGCCTTTCCCTGTTATATTGTTCATCAGAGTTGCTAACCTAACTTTATACGTTTCATAAATAGATTCCATTTACTCATGTTATATACTTCTTTAGTGGACACATCACCTGGCAAATCGCAAATTATTCTTCCAGCCGCAGGGTAGAACATATCCATTGCACCAAAGCCTAGCTTATTGGTACATCCAGACCCGATGGATATCGCATAAGTTTCGGAAGACAGGATAACTTTGTTATATAGATCTTAGCGCATTGTACTCGGGAGAAAGCGACTTCCCTTTAACGGATTAAGTTTACATGCAAATCCTTTTTTGAGCTCTATCAAATGTTTTTAGCATGTTAATCCTCGTTTATTGTTAACCCAATAATATTGAATTTGAAAGTTTGATCTATTTATAAGCTTTGTCGGGGTGCGGTAAAATTCTGCTTCTTCAAGAATATTTGGGTGAGGTACGAGTGAATTTTCTTTACGCCAGTGCAGTAATTCCTTAATAGCCATATAAAGCATGCATGTGACCCCGTCCACGGACTTTCCGGAACAATAAATTGATGTGTCATTTGCAAATATGTATTTTGGTCCTGATGAAATGGCAGGGCATTTTTTAACTATATATAACTACTGGGGCATTTATCCCAGTAGGTCCTATGCTTGCCCCAGTGGCGAAGAATGATATTCAGATGAACTGCGCCCTTTGGGTAATTGGTAAAAGGTTAAACTTGTTGAAGAAGCTGCATATCCTCTCACATTCTCGACATTCACTCTTATAAAAGTCAGCACAAGAGGGGCGGCGCTTAAAGGAGTTTGTGCCTGTGGAACCCCTCCAATTCCACACCACAATTGTCAGGTAGTCGGCGAATTATCTAATCCCAGTTAGACGAAAAGAAATACTAATTAGACTTTGACATTAGTAGGCAATATTTCACTTACTGCATTTTTATGTACCAGTATAAACTGCGTGTTGGAAAGGCCCTCATTGAGACTAATCCCCAGTAGTTGTAATTTCTGTAAAAAATGCCCTGTGAAATGGCTTTGGTAGGCCACTTGTATACCGTGTGAAGAGCAGTGGTCCCATCGTACTACCTTGTGGTATTCCGTATCTTATTTTGGCATTAATTATTAGACGTAACGGTGTAGTGTCACTGTGCTGAGTCGTATCAGTTGGATTACCATTTAACCATGAGCCAACAAGCTCACCGTTGTTCCAAATTGACGTTGTAGGTTATGAATAAGAATAGGATGTAAATGGTTGCCGAATTCTTACTTGAAGTTGACGAATACTACTCGCACAATAATTAATAGTCTTCAGGTTTCAGTCAAGTAGGATAACAATATCTCTGTTGAATAACCTTTGCGATAGGCCCACTGATAATCCGAGACTAGACCTTCCGTATTAAACACATGTGAGGCGATAGAATCTGAGACCCTTGACTCGAGTATTTTACTTGGTACACTTCGAATAGACAGGGGCGATAATTTCCTCTTTCTGCCTCTTCATGCATCCTTCTTGTAGACTGTGTTTAAGAACTGGCGCTACCTTCCAATTCTTTTAGACATTGCACTCGTCAACACTTCGTCGTTTAAGTCGGCTGTACAGAGGTGCAACAATGCATGGCTACTTCCGAAGCTTCTGTAATTTTGGTGAAATCCTGTCTGGCCAAGTAAATTTTTACTTTTTTGTTAATTGACTCATTAAATATCATTGATTGATTGGCAGGTTTCGAATATCTGTGAGGTAACTGTGTGCTCAATGGATAAAAAGTGCCGCCATATCTTTTTGCCAGTGTTTTACCCACATTAGAGAAGAGCTTATTTATCATTGGATTTGCTTTCTCATTTTTGTTACCAGCTATCTTTTGTCATCTCGTCTCAACAATCCGATGAATTTCCATGACCTTAGGTTTTTATACTTCAGAGAACTTTCTACCAGTAGGCCAGCGGATATGCACAGATATTTGAGAAAATCATGCACTTTGTGAAGAAAGCACTAAATTCACAGGAAGTGTAGACTTTAACATGATAATGAATCTTATATATGGAGGCATCACCAAAATTGATGCTGACGGCTTAAAACTTAGGATTTCTTATATTCTCTTATTAATCTCTTAATTTTATACAATTAAAAATTGTGAAATTGTAGGTTCACATAGAGTAAAAGTGACATGCGTCATTAGAAAGCTTACAAAAAACTGCATATAAGATATATAAGCAATTATTTTGATTTTCCAACTCCTGGAGTTATGAGCAGTTGAAAATATGTTTTAGGGCTACTGTCCAGGACTTTGGCGGGATTTTTGCCTATTTATCACGTTTTTAAGAGCGCGTGTCTCTAAAAACCGCACACTGACTTGGGGCTCGAAAAATAAATTTCTTCGAAACTTTTACCGTGAACTACATTTACTTTAACAACAAACAAATGCCGCTTGGAATTTTCAAAATATATTTAGTACTTACAATTTAGTACTTGGAATTTTCAAAATATATTTAGTAAATACACCGCGGGAGAAATTCGCCGGCTAATTAAACGAAAAAATGGGCTGAATTTAAATAAACATAATTTCCAAAGTTTTTGTTCAAAATTTCTGATATTCACACCCAGAACCGGAAAACTATCGTAATTTTTATCTAAACTAACTTAAGTTTTCAATTACAGAGCATATGTGACAATATTTAGCGACAAAAAGCGCCATGTCAAAATACGGCTTTCAAATCCTACTATTTTCCACGCTGAATTTCTTAAAAGTGGTACCTAATTACATACAGTGACTAGTATGGTTGGAAAAAGGAAACTTTTAAGTATTAAAAACCGTAATAAAACTCGTCTGCAAACGCGATTTGAACAATTGAGAGCGTTTGAAATTTAATACTATTGATGGCCATTTGTTTACATTAGAATGTTACTGAGGTCAGACGTCAGAGCTCGTGTCACTGCTAAAAATGCGTTGTAGTTCCGCCAAATACCTTTGCCTCAAATAAGTTTATAGCACTATTGTACTAAGGCCATATAAAATAATTTTCTTGATTCTCATCGCTAAATTTTAAAAACTCCCAGGAGGCGGGAGGTTTATATTTTATATTTTATGTCAAAATATAAAAAAAGTTTAAAATTTAAAAATTGGAGAGGGAGGTCTTTTTATATTTGCCTTAAATATATTATAGAAGAACGCTATATAAGTGGATAATTGCACATGCGCTAATGAACATGCATAAGGGTCCACACAAATCGTTGTAATAAGGCTATAAGCCCATTTTTTTCCTTCAGTATTCCAAGCATCCCTGAACATGTTGCAATATTAACGATAAAACAATTTTATATCGCAAAAATTCCAATATAAAATATAAAAATAACTAAATCTCTGAAGATGGTCGGTCGGGCGGTAAATTTATATTTTATAATACAAAAATACAAAATACAAAAATATATCAACGCGGAAACCAAAATATCGTCGGGCGGTGACGAGAATCAAGGAATCTATTTTATATGGCCTTAGCCTTAACAGCAGTTAAAAAGTAGTTAAAGTAAACTATATGCTTTAGGGTATAGTTAACTGTCCAAAACGTAGTTAAAAATGGCGTTTGTATAAGAGTGAACAACATTTTTCAGTAAAACAACAATGAAAAGCAACGGTTACCTGAGATTTTCAATCGCTATCTTCCCTGTGAATGTTTCCTGACAATATAAACTCTTCAAACGCTATCGCTTTCGTGTTTTTACGAAAACAGAACATATTTTTGCATAGGAGGATTTCTCGAAGACAAAGTATGGTCCATTACACCAAGAAACATTGATATATAATTGCCAAACAGCTATACCTTGGTGTAACGTAGACATCTCAAGGAAAAACTGCATTCTTTTATGATTTTTGTGGCGGTTTTTCCTTGTTTTCTTGTTTATTTTTAACTGTTTTCTAGTGTTTTGAATAAAATTCCCGCCTATTTGCAAAATACGAGTCCACAATCATGTTGAAAATGTGTGTCAGCGGTCGTTACTCGCTGCTTACTTTATGTAATTTTGTGTTTAAACGCCCCACGCAAGCCCCGCGCACAGTTAACTACGTGATTAGTTAACTATCCGACTAACTACGTTTTGTGCAACGTAGTTAAGTCATGTAGTTAACTAATTACAGTTAAGGATTTAACTACAGTGATTAACGCTAACTGCAGTTAGCGCTAATTACGTTTTTATACAACCGGCTCCTGAGTATCTCATAACTGTCGAATCTACTCCATCGGTACGCATGGAGAGATTCGTAACTTGATATCTCCGACTTAGTCTCACAAGTGTCGTCAGATCTACCCATCGGTACGCATAGAGAGATTCGTAACTTGATATCTTGCAGATTAATATCCTGCCACCTATTTTGTCTAATGATACTATTCGTCCAATCGTCCCACCCGTCACCAGTCGTTCCATTCGTGTTTCTTGAATACCTTACTTGTATTAAAATTAGTGCAATACTAGAATTCGCGCAGCGCTGGGTGCCCACATTTTAGTACTGCGCGAAATATAATCCGCGCGAAATGCTTTGTGGTGTAATTCCAGATAATTATTGTTAGTAATGCAAATCAGTTGATTTATTAACGCATATACATATGTTTTAAGTTGTCCTGGTAACATTAAAAATCAAAAGATCTTCATCTTGGACAATTTCAGTCGGGATATTCTCAGGTTCCACGTAGTTTTCCATCACGAATGCCTGCATTTTGCTGTAGATCCTCAAACTTGCATTCGACAACAACATGCAGAAGCCACAACGGAGAGGATGCATTTGAACTCTTGCTAATTTTGTTTGAACTATAAAGTATAATGTTATAGGCAGTACTGTATGTATTAGAATGCTAATAAAGATTATTGTTATTCTTATTGTTATTGTTAATGTATTAAGCAAATGAGAACGATACAATGATTTAATGATTTAATAATGTTCGACAACTACTGAATTTATATTATAACAATGTAGTGCCAGGATACTCGCAACAGTGTACCCAATTACGGCGAGTTTGGAAGGTTACCGTATTGGTAAATGGTATTGAAAATTTATATTATAAATTCTCATTTGTTTCTCCCCCTCGTTATCCCAGAACCAGCCATTGTTGGTCGAGCACTGTCATCGATATATGTGTAGCCATTGATTATTTTGTAGAGTAGAACTAAATCCAAATATTCGTGCCAATAGGTTAAGGGAAGTAAGTTGAGTTGAAGTAGTCTTGTTGTATATGGAACGTTGGATAAAACCGAGATTTAAAATGTATTTTGTCGCCCTTCTCTGTACCTTCTCGATATTCTCGATTAATTTGATTGTTTGTGGAGACCATACTTGAGACGCATAGGAAAAGTTGTTGCGGACCAGTTGTAAGTAAAGGTACTTCCTCTCCCCGATGTCATGCATTTCCTCTCCCCGATGTCATGCGAACAAACCGACCCCAGTAAAGGAGGATAAGTGGTTAGGTAAGTCGTTTATGTAAATAGAGAAGAGGAAGGGACTCAAGAATGATCCTTGTGGAACGCCAGATGTAATAGGCAAGGATTGTGATGTAGCTCCATGAACAGTTATCCGCTGGAAGCGTCCTGATAAATAATTTTGAAACCAGAGAAGAACAGAACCAGAGAAACCAAATTCACGCAGTTTTTGCAACAAGTTGGAGTGGTCAACAGTGTCGAAAGCCTTCGCAATGTCCATAAAAACAACTTCAGTTTGTAATCCCTTGTCCAAGTTCTATCCAATAATGGTTAAAATGGATAACAATTGTGTTGCACACGACCTACCGCTTACGAAACCAAACTGCGCTGAATGAATGTTAGATTGTATATGATGAGATATATGGTTGAGTACACATCGTTCAAGAGTTTTGCTTACGATGGATAACAAGGAGATTGGGTGGTAATTTTCAACGTAGTCCTTGTTACCTTTCTTGTGTATTCGAATAATGTTCGTTAATTTCCATTCCGCGGGAACCTGGTATATTTTGAGTGACTTACTAAAAAGGTAATGAAGTGATGGCGCCAATTGGTGAGCACATTCTTTCAGAATATGTGAAGGAATCCCGTCAGGACCATGAGCTTTGGAAGGGTTTAAGTTCTGTAGAGCATGGCACACTTCTTCTTGGGTGAGATCAATTGATAAAATACTTGATATTGAAGAAGATGAACTAGGTTGAGTTGAGGATGGTTGTTCCAAGACGCTGGTGTATACC